TGCAGGAGGCTTAGTGCTGGTAGTGGGGCAGAGCATCATCCGATGAGTGCAGGCAGGCAGGGGGGGGTCAGGGCGCCCAGTATGGTCCCTGGACTGGGAGCTAGCAGACTGGTGTGTTGGGGCACCTGGTTTGGTCCCCAGACTGGGATCCCAGCAACTGGTGGGTCAGGGCACGCAGGATGGTTCCTGAACTGGGATCCAACAGGCTGTGGGTCAGGGCGCCCGCTAATATCCCCAGATTGGGATCCAGTGCATTGGCATGTTGGGGCACCCGGTATTGTCCTCATCCAGTGGACTGGGGGCTGCTCAGCCACCAGCACCTCTCTGTTGATAGCCCACCCCCCCCATCCCAGGTCAAACCTCTAAAGACAGTTCATAACCAAAATGCAACCGTTGTCCAGCCGGACTTTATACCTCCATCGTTATCCCTGATTTCCTGATGGGGAAACTGAGGCACGGAGGCTGGTGCCTGGGGTCACGGGGATGAGAGGCAAGGTGGGGCCAAGGATGCCAAGCCCCGTGAGGACATGGTGCTGCAGGGGCATGAGCAGCCCCATCCCACCACCCTCCCAACCCACTAGCGAACGCAAACTGGGCGAGCTGGCACACAGGGGTGAGGAAGGTGCTGCTGGCTGGCCCTGCCACCACTGCTCCCGTCCCAGCCAGGGACAGACAGCAGGACACCGTCTCCCATTGCTCCCCATGGGCTGGACCTAAAACCAATCCCGAATCCCCGGCAGGCTGAGACATGGCTGTGCAAGGTACGGGCTGGCGGGGACTGGGTTGAAGGGGCAGGTTCTGCCATGGCCCCATTGCGGCCGAGCAGCTGTCGCCGTCCCAAATCTCCGGCGAGCAGGCACGTCGGAAATCCCGGGTGTCGGAGGAGAGGTCTGCTCCGCATTCCTCAGCCAGGAGCGGGGAGAGGGCCAAGCATCTCCCCGCCGCCTGCAGCTGCTCCCAAATATGTTACGACTTGTCACCGCGGCAGGAAGGGATGTCGGCAAGCCTGGAAAGCGAGAGGGGACGCGGGGCAGCGGGGTGCCCAGGGGGGACGGGAAGGTGGGTCCCATTTGAAACAGCATTTTGATGGGACCCCTTTCCTGTGCTGAAATCCCAGCAGGACGATCTCTTTACTGGGTCCTGGCCAACCCCGGCCTCTCTTTCCCCACCAGTGGGATGGTGCCCGCACCCCGGGGGTGTAGATGCTGCCTCCACCACCCGGCTCGCTTCACCAGCCCCTGAAACCTGCTGTTTTTTCAGCCCTTTCCGATGGAAGGAGCCAACCAGCACTATCCCCACAATCGCTGCTCCAGTGCGGGGACCATGCAGCTCTGTGCACCGGGCAGGGATGTGCAACCAGTGCAAGCAGCTCCATGCACCAGGCAGAGACATGCACCAGGTATGTGCAGCTCCGTGCACCAGGCACGGACATGCACTGGGTGTGTGCAGCTCTGTGCACCAGGCAGGGTTGTGCGCCGGGCTGCAACGTGCTTATGGGCTTCCCCAAAACTCATCACATCAAGACCATCGGCCATGGTCAGAAAGCAAAACAGCCGGGGCAGCCCCTGGGTGTCTCTCCACGCCGCCGCGTTGTGGACCTGGCCACTGGCTTGGGAAGCTGCCCCAGAGGAGCAGAGACAAACCCTTCTCGCTGAGATTTTCTCAATGGATGGGTATTTTTAGCTCAGGCCTCGTGGCTGCCCGTCCCCGCCGGCTGTGATGGGGTGAGCCGTCCCCACGAGGCCTCCGCCAGCCAGGGGAAGGTCACCCCGTGACGGATCGCAGCACGTTCTGCCCAGGGCTCACACAGCATCGCCTTTGTGTGCCTCCCAGCCGCCACCATCCATCACGGGCTAACCTGACAGCTGGCAGCAGAGCCCTAATCCCCCGCCGGCTCCGAATTACCCAGGGTGCAGCCTGCAGCCGCCGTGGGCACCCATGGGACCTGGGAAAAGTCGCCCTGCTTGTCCGTCCCCCAGCAATCAGCTTTGCGGGGAGCTCAGGGTGGTGCGGGCTACGACACGAGCCCCCCTGGTAGTCCAGACACCAGGGTCCCTTGGCGATGGCTACTTGCCCAGCGGTTATCATTATCCCTGATTCGAAATCCGCTGGGATGAGCCCGCTGGACCCCAGACTCCGCTGCGTCTCCCCACCGTGTCCGGGATTAGGATCATCCTTGGCATAGAGGGTCTGATGGAGGAGCAGAGACGCAGCTGGGCGGGCACAGCGTTATCCCAACTCCCCGTACCTGTGGCAGCGTGGGCAGCCTAGATGAGACCCCCCCCCGAAAAGGAGCTGGGGTTGTGACCCCAGCGTGGGGTCCCTCTTCTCCAGTCCCCATCCCCCCCCGGCCCCAGGTGCCTTTTCCTCCCCGTCTCCACGGGCTGCATCCTGCCTCCACTGCCTGCTCAGCCACAGGGACGTGGTGGCCTCGGTGGCCCGTTGGC